GTCTAATCACTGAAATAGCAGAGCCACAGTTAGAAAACCTATGGAGTAACCCTTGATGTGGTAGACACGGAAAAACCAGGCAAAAGAACAGCTCCCTGATGTCTAGCGGTTTATTGAAAGGAACAGTTAATGCCTATTTTTTTCTTTTTGACCAATTTTGCATACTTATATCTGGCAATCTGAACAACTAGTTTGAAGACAACAACATGCAGTGGAACGACCATTGGTGATTGGTGTCTGCAGTGTTCCCAACTTGCCCCTTGCTCTGCAGATCCACAACCAGCTGAGCTCATTTCCTGCCGCAGTGTGCAAGCCACTTCGTGCTTTTGCCTCCTGCCCTCCTCGTGGGCGTTTACCCCTGCCTGGCTCAGACAGCCCCGCTGAGGAGTGACCAGCCTGAGCTTCAGTCCCCTGTGAGCCGGGGAGAGGGCCTTTCTCCCATCCTTTGATTTTAGTTTTTCTATGTCACACTCCCTTTTTTTGGTGGCACTGAGGTGTGAACCCAGGGTCTTTGTACTGAGCTACGACCCCAGTAATTTTATTCATTTATTTTTTGAGATAGGGTCTTGCTAAATCACTAAGCTGCTCAGCCTTCCCGAATGCTGGGATGACGAGTGTGGGCCACCGCACCCAACTGCAGTCACCATTGTCGTGGGCCCTCGCCGACCACTGCGGAGGACGCCACCGACTTCCTGAGAGAAATGGCTGCTGAGCCCTGGACAGATAAGAAATGGGGACTTTCTGTTTTCCTATACCCCTGCGCAGGCAGAGGAAGTTACTGGAGGCGGCTCCCTGCACAGTTCTAAGTCCACGTCCTGCTTGCTCTGCTGAGACGGAGAAGCTCGAAGCTGACACCGAGTCTGGAGGGCCCGGCTGGAAATGGCCACTCCTGCCCTGTTCAGGTTTCCTTTCTGCTCAAGCAGCGTCTCTGTCCAGTAGCAAAGACAGCGCTGAGTACTTTTGTTTTGTTTTGGGGACTAAGAATTAGACCCAGGGCCTTCAAACTAAACTACACTCCCCAGCCCTTTTTCTAACATTACTGTGGAGACAGGGTCTCCCTGAGTTGCTAAGCTGCCCTTGCTGGGGTGGAAGTCTTGATCCTCCCACCTCAGCCTCCCAGAGCACTGGGATTATAGGCATGTGATCCCCGCTTCCCTTTTACTACTGAGCAGGAGGGGATTTCCCTCACCCACTGAGCGGCCCTGTAGTCCGTGCTGGGGTGAGGTACTTCTGTTACTTTTCTTTCTGAATACCAGTGTTCCCGGCTTTCACTTGGCCTCTAGCTTGCGCTGGCTGCAATCTAGTGATTTCTGATGATTCCTGATCTCCTCGTAAAGCTGTGCTGTAACTATTGATTTCGGTGCATACCCAGAAGTGGCTTGTGAGGGCTTTCTAGTTGTAGTCTGCTGTCTTGCGGCGCTCTCTGATATTTTTAGCTCTTTTTGCTCAGTAATTACAAGAGGTCTGTCCGGCGTTGGGTCTGGGAAGAGGTGGGGGTATGGGGAGCAGGAATCTGCTGAAGGCGGGTGGGCACCAAGCTTCTGAACCTGTCATGACAGCAAGATTCCTTGACAGCGGTGAACTTGGGACAGACTCATTCATTCTGGCTCTTAAAAAAGTTCTTGAGGTTTTGGCCTTTGGCTAGTGCCCAGGACTGGAGGGGCTGGAGATTTGTTTCTGCCCATGACAGAAAGGTGCAGTTTTAGAGACCAGCTGTTCTCCAGTGGGAGGACTTCGGGCGCCAGGGAAGTTTTAGACCCACTTCTGGGAAGCTGGTGCCCACCAGGACTTATCTACCCAGACTCTCAGAGCATGTGTGACTTATCTCAGTAAAAAAGTCAGAAGTCCTCTAAATGGCTATCAGCAGATGGACAGTAGCTTAATATAGCAATCCATATAGTGGAAAATGATAGCCGATATTAAAATTATACTGTGGAAAAAGATTTAATAATGTAGGAAATGCTAAGTTGAACAGAGGACAAAGCAACTTATATATGTGAAGGTGTGCTATACACACATACGTTTGTATGTGACTTAAAAATACTTCTGTAGGGGAGAAGAACAACTGAGAGGAATTTCTCTAGATGTTAGTTCTGGGTATCTCTGAATTCTAGAATTATGTAATTTGTTTAATTTGTTATCATCTTCTGTAATTTCAAAATTATTCACAGTAAGTATTACCTGGTTATAAAGGGAAAGACCCATATGAATTTTGCAAATGTATGTATTGAGTTTTTTGAGATATGAGGGAAAACAGACACTATTGAAATTTGTGAAATCAGAGAGATGTGAAAGTCAGAAAAATTTCAGTGGGAGTTCTTTTTCCAGAAGCAAATGGTCAGGAATGATATTTATCTCATCAATATTATCTGCCTTAATAAAGTTCAAAGAAACAGATGAGGCTTTTGGTTAAGGGGCTGATTGATTTCCATGCTGTAAAATACTTGGTTTCTGGGTGATCCTGGAAGGTAGTTTGTGGACACGGGCAGGGGCTTGCTGGGTGCCAGGGTCTACGCCCCCTCTGCGTGTCCCTTGTGGCCAGCAGTGGATTTTGGATAAGGAGAAATAGTGCCTTGATGGTAGCAAGTTGAAATCTACAATGGCCTGAGGTCAGTTTGGAAAATTTCCGCTGAAATTCATTTTATTTTTGATTTTTTAGAAATACAACTATATACAAGGAGGTTAGAAACCATTCTCTCTGTGCTTTATTACAGTTTTATTATACTTTGTGTTCTCAAAGTGCAACAGGAATATTAAACAGTAATGAAATCAGCCAGGTGAGGCCCCCACCTCAGAGAAGATAAAAGGTATAACGGACTTCAGACCTTTCCCCAACTTTTGTGTGTGACACTAGTGATTTAACCCGGGACCTTTGCACTGAACTACATCCACAGCCTTCTACAAAATTTTTTTTTTTTAAATTTTGAGACAAAGTCTCACTAAGTCACTGAGTTGTCCTGGCTGGGTTGAACTCGAGATCCTCCTGCCTCAGTCTCCTAGAATGCTGGGATTACAGATATATGCGGCCATGCCTGGGTTCTTTCCCCATTTCTAATTTACCTCCTCAGTGGCAAGAAGGTGGATCCTGCGGGTTGTGCTGGGCAGTGCGGCTGTGAGCTGCTTTTGTCAGTCCCCTGGCTTTGGCTGTCCGAGGAGCAGCAGGCCTCTGCTGTCTTTGAAGACTGTCCTTCAGAGGGTCGGGGGTGATTCCAAGTCATCATGCTAATTTAGAAGACTTTTATGAGTCAAAGAGCCGTCTTGTGCAGGTGAACAGAGATTACTGCAGTGTATTCAACATGTTCATCGTGAAGTGTTCATTGAAGACCTATAGCGATCGGGCCACCACTCCTGACACCAGATTAAACAAGATGAAAACAGCACAACAGGTGTGATGAAGACAATGGCATCAACAAGCCGACTGTCTTCACGCTTTGCACAGCTCCTTGTCTAACGCCACGACAATGAGGGCTTCTTCCTGTAGTTTTCCTTTCCTCTGTGAGACGTGGCTGAGGAAACGGAAGCACAGGCTGCTTGGTGTGAGGGGGGACAGTGTAACAGTGAGCTCCCCACGAAGTTCTGTGTGCCAAACGGCCCCACAGGGCAACAGAAAACACCTGGGCGCTCTCTGGGTCCCTGAGACGCTGACAGGTGCCCGAGGCCCTTCCTAGTTTGCAGTCTGAGAGAGGGGGACGGAGGACTGCAGTAATGGGTTAAGGCGGGTTGAGTTGTTAAAAGCACTGTAATTCTTAAACCCCCTGCGCTGGATTCATCACTCCCTTTTCGTCATCTGTTGAAGTCAAGTGATGTGCCGTATACCTCCGTCCCCTGCCATGCTGGCCTCCACTGGCCACCAGACACGCCGCGGGGGCCTGGCTTCCACTCACCCGCAAGACCAGAGTCCTTTTGTCTATGTCACGTGTGAATGCTTGCATGAGAAGGAAAGAGCAAGTTGAAATATTTTCTTTAAAATTTCTCTCCAGTGCATTTATGATCTGAGAGGATCATGGTATTTTTCCGAGATGGATGTTCATAGGGCCAACAGACTGTCTCTATGGTCTGAGCTCTTTCAGGAGGCCCTGTACCAGCATACAGAATGACACATTTCCAACTATTGGATGAAAACGGGATTTGCAATTTCTCTTTTTTATTTTTTAAATTTTTGTTGTTTTTTGTTTTTTTTTCTGGTACCGGGAATTGAACTCATGACCTTGTGCTTGCCAGGCAGGCGCTGTACCGCTGAGCTAAATCCCCAGCCCCGGGATTTGCAATTTCTCATGAAAAACTTGTTGCTTTGAAACACGTGTCCTTCAGTGGGAGTGGCTGTATGTGTTGGTGTACTTTATTGTGTCTATGCAGTTATTTTCTTTTCAGAAATCTCATGGTCTGGAGGATAGCTTTATGGTGGCCTTTCCAGCTGTGTACGGCCCGAGGGAGCCTCCAGAGGGTCATCTTTCCCAGGGTGACCCCGTGCTTTGCTTCAGTTGCGCCTCCTGTTCCCCAAGAGCCTCCTCCCTGCTATCTTGTTTACCACATTGTTCTAACCCTTGGACCTGATTTCTGGGGCTTAGTGCCCCCGTAGGAGCCATGAGGACGATTTAAATGTGAACGTGCTGTGGTTCCAGGAGACAGCACTCTCTGTGAACGAAAGGCCCATTTGGCTGAACATACTTGTTGATGTGGAGCTCTGCACGGAAGGCCTCGGTGGCCAGAATCTCCTGTTACTGCTAACACGAGCCCGAGATGGCTCCTGCAGCATCTGGGCCGCCGTGTGAGCTTTTGCTCTGCACTCTCAACCTGGTTGAAGCCGGAGAGGAGTTATTTTCATTTATTTTGTCTCCTAAACTCCAGTTTCTGACTATTCAGAGAGAATCTTGGTAAAATTTTCATGTACAATTTATCACTGAATGGCAGGTGCGTTCTTGGCTGGGTTGAGGGCCCGATTACTGGAGCCCCTTTGTTATTTTTGTGTTGGTGACTGGTTCCTTCCCTGTGTTTTCCAGGTCTCACTCTCCTCTGCCTCAGTTCTTCAGCTCCAAGTCTAAAGATGCCTGCTTCACAGAAAACACTCCTTTGCTCCGGAATTCCTCACAAGAGAAAAGGTGAGATTATTTCTTGTAGGGATGAAATTTCTCGGTATTATCCTTGGTATTTATGATGCAGAATTTCTTCCAGAGATACACATCTTTACCTGACGGTGTCTCACCAGGCTGGGGTTTCCCAGCTAGGTCAGGTTGGCAGTATCTGGAGATATTTCTGCTTGTCACACTGGGGACAGAGGTGCTACTAGCATCTAAGGGCAGAGGCCAGGGATGCTGCTCAGCATTCTGCCTCGTACGGGAAAAATCCCAGCACAAAGAATTGTCCAGCTCCAAAGCTAGCTGTGATGAAGTTGAAGAGCCCGGTGTGCATGATTCACAGCAAGGCTCTACTCTGTGAAAGGCTGCAGGTCCTTGCCGGGGCAGATCTGTGTGGCTTTGCCTGGCTTGAGCAGAGCCAATGGAGCCTCTCCTTCCGGGATGAAGAGCTGGACCAGGTCTTTAGCTCCATCTCCTCCTCTTTCTGCAAATACACTCCAGGAAGCACGCTCCCCCTGCGTGCTATAGACTGCTGACCTCATAGAGACCGCCTTCCCCGCTCAGTGCGCCCGTGCACCTGTGGGCTGCTGTTGCCTCACCTGCCCGGAGTCTCTGACGCGTTCCGCCCTCTCCTGCACTCTGCCTGCAGCCAGGGTGAAGGTGCAGCCTCACGCTCTGTGGGTACTTGAGCTCTGACCCCCAGAGACTCAGGCTCATGGGATTCTCACGGCTCGGGGAATCTGGATTTGCCTCCTCCCATGCAGGGATGGTCTCTCTGACCCCCTAGCTGGTATCTGACGACAAGCGGCATCTGTCAAAGATCCCACCACACCTTCGACCAGCAGAACCTCCCTCCCCTTCCAGCTCTCCAGGGAAGTCTGCTGGGGGCAAGGCTGTCACTCTCTCTGGAACTTCAGTCCTTCCTTCCCCAAGAGGCAAAGCTGCTTCTGCTGTGCTCTCAACTCTCAGCAGCACTTTCCTGCCCTTTTTTCTGACCTTGCTTGTGTGATGGCCATGATTATGCCTGTCACTCTGGGTCTCCTTCATCCTGCACCTCAGAGTCCAGTGTGGCCTGCTGCAATCCCTCAGTGCCCGGAGGATGAGGGCCCTGAGCTGGGATGTTGCCACGGACCCGTCTGCCTCAGCTTCTCTGTGGAGCCAAATTTAGTTCTCCTCCATCTCTCCTAATGAATAACTTTGAAAACACACATCTTGGACATCCAGGCCCTTAATGCTTTCTCTTGAATTATTTTTTATTTTTATTTTTTTTGTTTTGTTTTGTTTTTTGGTTTTTTTCCGGTACCGGGAACCGAACTCATGACCTTGCGCTTGCCAGGCAAGCGTTTTGCCGCTGAGCTAAATCCCCAGCCCCTCTTGAATTATTTTTAAACTGTCGAGGTCTGAGGCATTTTAGAACTTGCAGTTCATTGGAGAACCAATAGCATGCATTGGTCCCGGGCACATGGAGCACAGGGACGTCCCCGGGCATATGCGGGCCTCCTACCAGAACCTGACAGTGGTCACCTTGCTTATCGCATGTTTTCCTTTTCTCTTTTACCTGAGGTAGTGAGGATGGGAAGGTGTTTTTTCAGTTAAGTTTATTGGTACATTTTAGGTATACATAGTGGAATTGTACCTGTACACGATACACCTTGATTCTTCTTTTTCCCTCCCATTCCCCTCCCCCTTCAAACCCTCTTCCTCCCCTTTTTACAAAGGCTTTGTTTCCTTTTGTCCTTCTTCTCTCATTTTTTCTGTCCCCTTCCTTCCTTCCTTTCCCCCTCCTCCTTCCTGGTTCCGTTTCCCATTTGAATATTTTGTTCCTATTTCACAATATCTTTTTAAATTAAGTTTATTGGTGCACTTCAGGTCTCCACCATGATTACGCTTATCATAGGGAATTTGTACCTGTACATGATACATCTTGATTCCTTTTTCCCATTCCCCCATCCTTCCTCAACCCCTCTTACCCTCCTTATTTACAAAAGCTTTGTTTGCATTTTTTCCTTCTTTTCTCATTATTTTCTTTTTCCCTTCCTTACTTTTCCAATCTGCCCTCCTGCATTCCCTCGCTTCCCATTTGAACATTTTCTTCCTATTTCACAGTATCTATTATACATTTTGATCTTTATTTATAAAGATCTTATAAAACTTATTTCAGTTTCTTACAGCAGAGAAGCAAATGCAATATTTACACATGTGTCTGATTTATTTCACTTAAGTGTATGGTCTCAAGGTGCATCCATTTAGCTAGAAATGTCTCAAGCTTATCATTCTTTATGGTAGAGTAGTACTCCACTGTATAGAAAAGCCACATCTTCTTTACTATTTATCAGTTGCTGGGCATTTGGGCTGTTTCCAAGATTTAGCGATTATAAACTGTGCTGCTATAAACATGGGTGTGCAAATATCGCTGTGGTATGATACCTTTAATTCTTTTGGGAAGATACCAAGAAGAGGCTGAGTCTAATGAAACCTCTAGTTTTAGTTTTTTGAGGAATCTCCACACTGATTTCCACAGTGGTTTCACCAGTCTACACTCCCACAAATGGTACCATGCTGTTTTTATCACAGTAGCTTTGTAGAATAATTTCAGGTCAGGAATTGTGATGCCCCCTGCTTTGCCTTTGTTGTCCAGAATTTTCTCTGCTACCTAGGTCTCTTCTGGTTCCAAGTGAATTTTAGGGTTGTTTTCTCTAATCCTGTGAGATATGCTGCTGGAATTTTGATCAGGATTGCATTAACTCTGTATAAGTGTAGGTCTTTTTGATGCTTTACTTTTTGCAACTTAATTTTGATTTAATAAAATGATTTAATAGGATAGCATTTATTGATTTGTATATTTTCAGAAGAGATGATCGTCCTTTTCAGGGTATTGAGGGTAGGAATATGCATCTGTAACAACCAACATCATGGCCAAATGTAGTTGGCCAACTTAATTTATATGAAATAAAACTCAGCATTTACTTTCTCAGTTGCAATAGCATGTTTCGTGGTCAATAGCCACGTGGTTAAGGATGGCTGGGGTGAAGAGCATTTCGGTTCCGATGGAAAGTTCTAGCGCACAGCACTGCCTTAGCAAGCATGACACTAACTGGTTTTCTTTTCTCTATCTACAAACAACCATTTCTTAGTTCCAGTTTTCCTTATTGTGGTGTTTTTCTAGCAGTTACAGGGAAGGTGATGCCATTTTCCAGACATCTAACCATTTCCCTGTCACAAAATTGATGGAGAAGATTATTGACTCTTTGCAAAGTTATTTGTTACCTGACTTTATACTGGTTTTACAGCCTAATTTCTGTCTCTTGGTTTCTCCTCATGAATACGGTTTTTTTTCTTGTGTTAAGTATCCAGAAGAATCACATACCCTGTTGTGCTAGCTGGGTTCGAGAGGCACCACTCTTTCTAACATGTAGCAGCAGAGCATATCTGTTGTTAATGTGAATATTGTGACTTCGGTAGTATCCTATGGAGTACGTGAAAATCCTGGCTTTGGCACAACCTCTTGAGGGTCAAGCGTACCTGTACATAGCGAACTGCTCGGCAGCCCAGGAATTCAGTCTGGGAGGAATGTAAGTTCAAGAGTCCAAAGGCAGCTCTGAGGAAGGTTTATGTGGCCCCTTGCTCCACCCTGCTAAACACAGGCCCTGTCCTCAGGCCCGTCTTGCCCAGCACCGTTTTCCTCATCCCTTCTCAGGGCCCTGGGTGCTGAGTGCGAAAGTCAAGTAGACCCTCCCCTGCAGCTGCATGACAGAAGGACCCACGCGGAGAGGGAAAAGGTCACACCACATTCCCTCTGCATCGTCGGCACCAGCACATCGGGTCTAGGCTCTGGCAGCTGGAGCACATTCAAGGAGAAAGCAAATACTGAAATGAGTGGGAACTAATTCATCTCAGCCAGAAACAGCTGTGTGGGAGATTTCAGAAATTAGAAAAGACAGGTATTTCTTGAAGGCCCACTGTTCATTTTGAAGGCTTGAGTGACCTCTGGAGATTTGCTTGAAGTCAAGTGTCCTGTGATAGCAAGAAAAATCCATTCCCACCAGAGCGAGAGAGGACGCCACCCCCTTGGTGGTCCTTTCAAGGAGCAGGACTGAGTCAGTGATGGCTCACACCTCATAACAGAGAGGGAAAGATAACCACAAAGCTCTTATTTTTCAGGTCACGCCGCCTGCCCGCTTACCACCCTGAATTCATTCCTGATGTAGAATCATGGGAAGACAGCTCGGCTGAGTGGGAGCGAAGACACATGCTCACCAGAGGGGTGGCTGGTTGGTCCGCATCTGCCTCCTCAGAGAAGGAAGAACTGACAGACAGCACTCACCTCAGAGTCCCTCTGTTGAAGCTGAAGTAGGTGGATCCAGGGTGCCGGCTCTGGTAGCTAGCCGGGGCCACACATCGCTTCCTGTTTGCACGGGCGGAGGCCTGGGTGCCCGCATTTCAGCCTTCCAAACCCGCAGGGTGAAGAGAAGCGTGCGGGTTTTCCATTTGGCCGGGATGCCATTTCCCTAGGCCTTGAGTGTCATTTAAGGCGGCCCTCCCAGAAGCCTCAGGGAACCCAGTGGCAAACCTAGATGACCCCTCCTCCACTCTCTTCCTGTTTGGGAGATTGCAGTCTTCATGCTCATCGGGGTTACAGATAGAATTGATCCACTTCCCGGTGAACACCCCGGGGCGTTTCAGAATGGTTGATGCTGTCTTTGCAGTTATTGATGAAGGGTTGGTGTAGCACACGCCATCGCCTGAGGCACGCACGGGTCTCCTGTTCTGTGGGAGCTAGAAGCCCGGGTTGAGCATGGCTGGGGAAGCCGGGGGTGCGCTGGGTAGGAGGGGAGGGTCACCGGCCTGGGAGGGCTGAGAGTGCTTTTCCCAGCTGGCTGTAAACAGCTCCACTCCATGCCCTGTCCTCACCTTCCTCGCAGTGTGGAAATGTAGAGTCCAGTACATGTGGGACTTCACACTCACCGCCTGTTTTCTTTTCTGTGATCCGTGGAATAGCTGCCTTGAGCTTGGCCCTGAGCTGAACGAAGTGGGTGCCCTTCTTACAGCATTGTAACTAGTGCAGGGTCCCCGCTTGGTGAGTGCAAAGCCATTCAGCACAAGCAGGAGATGGGAGACTCACAGAGTTTATTATTTGCGGAAAGCAAGGAGCACACTGGGGATAATTTCTATAGCAGGGGAAATTGTGCGCGGTCATCCGGGAAGCGCTTGTCATCGCAGGTAGGGGAGGGCGCACCCTTGGGCATGCGCAGTTGGACGTCACACGTCTTCACACATGCCTGCTCGCAACGGCTGAGGGGAGCGCCTCAGATGGATAATTCAGTATTATAACGACCAAAGCTTACTCTAGGTCACTTAACTGGTGGCAGAATGATTGGGTGGTTTTGGCTGGCTCTTTGTCAACTTAGGAGGATCTTATCGGAAACAAACAGCAACGGAGAGGCAACTTGTAGTCACTAAAGGGGCCGCAGCTTTTCCCTGCAAGCGCAGGTCATCATCCCCGAAAGTCCTTCCTAGTGGCTAACAGCGTATCTAGGAAGTACCGGGAATGATAGGAGAAGCAGTTTGTAAAAAACCTGTATCTAGAGTAGCCCAGTTAATGCTTCAGGCTTTAAAAAGAAATGTCATTTTGATTTCCATTTAAGTAGGAGCTGTTGAATCATAATTTGGAAGCATGACATGATTGTCAAATTAAGTCTAGGAGAATGCAAAATGCAATTTTAACATTTCCAAAGGACCAGAAAGAAGGCTTTCAAGATGTGGAACTGAACTAAGCAAGTAGAATACTGAAGAGATGTCCCAGCCAGGCTCTGCTGCTTTGGTCTGCACACACGTGCGGGGCCTGGCTCATGCCCTGGCGCACTTTCTTCCGTGGGGCACAGCCGGGGCATACCTGTGGCTGCCCGTAGGCTGGCAAGGGTGGAAGCTTTGGGGCTGGACAGTGACCGTGCCGTTAGGGCTGGCGCTTGGCTCCTGAAGGAGCAGAGCCGAGGAGGACGCCAGCCGCGGGGCATCCTGCTGGCATCAGAGCCCCTGGGCCCGTCTGGGACAGCAAGAAACAAGTGGGCGGAGAGTGCGGGGGAGTTGAGTCCAGGCTCGCACAGGGTGGGGGTAGGTAAGAGGCGGCCGTGGTGAGTGGGCCGGAGCAGCTCTGCAGTTCCTCACAGGGGCCGCGTATGGGGCCTGTTGGTTAAGTCTTCTCCTCCAGAGTTCTGAAAAGCCCCTGATGGCAAAATGATGGCAACCGTGGGGTTTCATTCTCGAGCTGTTTTTATGCTTGATGGTAAATTTACACTTCTGCTTCCAGAAAACTCAGGGAAGGTAACTGATAAGCATGAGTTGCAGGGCCAAGATAATGTGTTTAATTTCCTTGTCTGCCGCAGCCCCACCCTGCAGCCTTGAGAAGGCTGGGGAAGATGCGGCAGAGGCCCGGGTGCGGCGCATTTCCCGCTGCTCCTCCCCGGCTCCTCTGGACTAGGCCGCGGGTTTGCTGGCCAGACTTCTGCTTCGCGCCGCCCGAAGGAACGCCCCGAGGCGGCGTGTGCCGCGGTGAAGGCTCCCGTGGCTTCCTCGGCCGTGTGCAGGCCGGCTGCCGCCCCTGGGACTCAGGGCCGTCTCCTCTCTTGCAGGCGCTGCGTGAGGTGGCTGAAGGTCACGGGGCTGTTTGTCTTTGTGGTGCTGTGCTCCGTGAGTACTGTGCTGCCCCGCGGGCCTCCTCGGGTGCCTGGGGTTGGGTGGCAGGGGACCTCAGGTGTAGGAGGACGACGGTGAGCATGCACGCGCACAGCGAGGGCAGTGCCTGGCGCCGGTGCTCCCGGGCTGAGCTGAGCGCGGTCGACACCACACCCACGGGGAGGAGCGCAGAGACAGCACGGCCGTGCACAGGACGGAAGCGGTTATTCTGAAATCTGAAAAGTCACAGTTATTTTTCAGCGCCGGTGTGCCCTTGTAATCCCTAGTCACACAGCTGTGTGCTTCTGAAGCGCTTTCTAAATGGGGCATGGAGGGAGAGCTGGGGTTTCAGTGGTGGAGGTCAGCGCCCGGCTGGGCTCCCCGTGTCCTGAGAGCGGACAGAAGCTCAGAGCCCGGTCTCCAGCCTTCTCTGGAAGACGACGTGTAGACACGCCCGCGACAGAGTTGGGTGGAGTTGCTCTGAACTTGCACGGTGTCAGCTTATTGCCACTTTGTTTTCTAATGGCATGCAAGGCTATCTGTAAATCCCACAAGCACGGGTTACAGCCTCCAGAGAGGCCGTATTCCTCTGCTCTCCTATACGAGAAAGCCACCTTTACCCATCTTTGACAATTTAATTTTGTGGCTGGGTGTTTAACCTTTAAAACTGGCACATATCAATAATCAAGGATGACTGCAGTTAAACATAGTAGGGTGAGTCAGAATATCTTAATTTCCAGACTAAGCGGGTGGGGCATGGATGCCTAAGTCATCACTATCATCACGTCTCTATTTTTAGCGATCAAAATGATTTAAGTCCTGTCGCTCTTGCATCACAAATCTGTCATTAAATGTTTCTGACGTTACAGGTTTTATTCAGCCTGTATCCAGATCACAGAAAGTTCTGGCAGCTGCTGGCCGTGTCACCGCTGGAAAGCTACTGTATCCGTAGTATGCACCGGGGTGGGCGGTGGTCCGTGGCTGACACCACAAAGCAAAGAGATGCAGGAGTTATATTTGCTGTCGCTGAGACTGAAGCTTAGGTTGTCGCCATTTCTGCTGCCAGGACTGTTTTCCTTCAGAATGGTGGTGCACGGTGGTAAAGGTCTTCATGGAGGGGAGATGGCCCTACAGGGGCACGTCTGGCGTTGCATGGCGCTTCCGCACTCCGTGTCCCCCTCCCCACCACTTCCTCCTGCATTTCCACAAGAGTCACTCCCGCTGACCTGTCTTCAAGGCCCTTGGTTCTTTCCTTGGCTGTCACCTGGTTCTGATGATTGCCTTACCTCTTCACGCTGTGTTTTCTCTTGCCTGTTTGTATACCTTGGATTTTTTTTGAAAGCCAGGCACATTGTACAGGATAGTAGATACTGAGGTCAATAGTTTCTAAGCTTGGACACGAGCTATCCCTCAGCCTTCTGCCGGCACTGGTTTGAGGATTTATGTAAACTTGGACTTCAGCTGGGCTGAAGCTTGTGGTTGCTGTGATAACTTGGTGTGTAAGACCCTTGGAATTCAAATCACTCTTATTTTACTGGACGGTGGCCCCAAAACACAAGAGTAGTGGTGCTGGCAATTCAGATGGCCAAAGAGAGGGCGTAAAGGGCTAGCTTTTAAAGAGGAATGAACTCATTTAGAGAACTGAATGACAACGTTCTTTCTCTTTGGTATCTTTGGTTCATCATCTTGAGGAACTGAAATTTTAGAATGCTGGGTGGTTTTCCTTCCAGTTACCCATATGCTATTGGACAGGCTTGTTTTTGAGTCATTCTGGGAGCCGCCCTCTTCTCCCCAGGACACCCTCTCCCTCAGCCAAGCCCGCTGGGACACAGCGCTCACGGCCTCCAGGTGAGCGCATGACGCCTGGGCTGTGGTCCTGCTTAGCCCTGTGCCTCAGAAGTCCTTTTGAACCCCTCCAGGACAGCGTGGCTCCGATGTCCAGCTGATATTCTTGCTCATGTCTTTGCATTTTTCACTCCTTTAAAATTGTGTCTAATATTTCTGTCTACTTATAGGCAGTCAGGCAGGGCTGGGCCTTTGAAGGAACCCGTATGGAAGACAAGATTCTTTGCAACTTTGGGAGAGACAGGCACTCCAGCTGTGGGCCAGACCTCAAGACAAAAGATAAAACAAACATGCCCCCATACCTCCCTAGGGATGGAGGTCAGGGATTGATATTCTAAATAGGTATCAATCACCTTGAAAAAGCCAGGAAGAGTCACTGACCCAGCCCCTTCTACAAGAAAAACCCATGTTCTGTATTCATGCCGGCTTGCTACATGACTCGCTTCCCCATTTGATCCTAATTTAATCAACTTCACTTGAACAACTGTACTTGTAATCTCATTGGCTGATCATAGTTTTGGCTGACCTCATGCTCACCTAGCGAGTTCCCATGTTTTCCACCTTGGACCTGCCTCACCTTGCAGTTTTGGTCTATAAAAATCCCTAGAAGAGACAGATTCCTGGGCAACCCACTCGGGTCCCCTTCTGACCCTTTCTCTGATGGAAGCTTTCTTTCCCTCAATAAATATATTCTGCTCTTCCAAAAAATTCTGAGTTTTAGTCTAAGAAGTATCTCCTTGTGAGAGATCAGAAGAGCTCTATGATTTGACAAACTGTGCTTTTTCTTTTGCGCCTTTTCCTCAATGTGAGCTCCATGGGTTGAAGAAACCAAGATTTCAACCACCACCCCCCGAAGGCTTCCTAGAACACTGGCATCATGGTGGCCCCAGGATACAGGCGCTGCTTCCCCGGGAGACTTCCCTGCAGGTGGCTGGAGCCTGCTGAGAACCTGAAGGCAGAGGTCGATTTGTCCAGACCCAGTGTGCAGTGAGATCCCAGCAAGGAGGAAGCCACTGGAGGCTTTTAGTGCTCGGCCTGGGGCTCGCCTATTGATCAGCCTGGCATCCCAGGGAAACAAAGCGAGCTGGGAGGAAACTGATCATCACAAATCAGAGCGCTCATCTCATCCCGCTGAGCGGCAGGGTGCCGTCTTTATTCTGAAATACTTCTGTAAAGTTCTTTGGGCCCGGGACTACCGCAGGCCCAACTTTCCTGGCAGCAGAGTGATCCAGGAACTCTCTTCCTGGGTGCTCCTGGGGGACCCACATGTTGAGGAGAAGGGAGAGAGAGGCAGGAGGCTGGAGGGAGCCAGGCAGGAGGGTGCTGTAGGGGTCTCAGCTCTGTGAAACCCCACCCCTGTGGGGCTGAGGCAAGTTTCCCAGGCCCGGGCACAGGCACTGCAGTGGACGCCAGATGCCCTGGAGCACCAGGCTGTGGTAAGGAGAGGGTGGTGACCCTGAGGGCCGCTCTCAGAGAAGTGGCGTTTGGTGCAGATCCAGAGCAGCGAGTCAGGGCCAATTCTGAGAGGCTAAGAGTAGCGTCCTTGTGGCCGTCATCCAAGCAAGAGCTTCCCCGCCCTCTGGCCGCCCCCTGAGGGACACGTGTGTGCCGGGCTGGGAGGGCTTTTGGAGAAGGCACCACTCTCCTTTAGTGGGGCAGTAACAAAGCCACCTTCCCCTGGGAGCTTCTACCTCTCCCGTACCAGGCTGTGTCAGCTCAGTAATTACAAGGTTTGTTTTAGAAACCTGTAATTGCAGCACCTGAAACACTTTGTTCCTGGATTATTGCCTGTGCTTGCTCTAGGGGAGGCCTGTCACAGGCTCCCAGAACACACGGCAAGTAGAGGTCAGCAGACTTGACGGTAGGTTAATAGTGTTGCCGACCCTGCCTCCTCCTTGCCTCCTCCCCTTCCCTCCCTCCTTCCCTCCTTTATTCCTTCCCTCTTCTCTCTACTTCCCTCCCGCCCTTCCCTCCCCTCTTCCTCCTTTCTCTTTATGTCCATCGTACCCAAGCTGAACCCTGGGCTCACAAAGAACATTAAGGGAACATCCTCTCCAGCTGGAGCCCTGTACACCAGACTAACAAGACAGGTTAACAAGAAAAAAAAAAAAAAAAGAGCTTTATAATAAGGCCCTGGTTCACATGACGATGGAGGCTGAGAAGTCCCCAACTCAGCCTCTGCATTCGAGACACCGGGGACCCAGTCAGGCGATTGCAGGCCCGAGCGCTGGGTGCTGATGGTGTGGATTCCAGCTGAGTGTTAAACCTGAAAACCCAGGACGCCTAAGTCAGGAGAAGAAGGATGTAGGGCCGGATGTCCCAGCCTACAGTCCTGCGGTGAGGGTGCACATCCTCCCCCACGTGTTTTCTGTTGGATCCTCAGTGAGTAGGATGGGCCTACCCGATCATCTTTGCTATGAGATGGACCAATTCTATTTTTTTTATTTTAAAGAGAATAATAATAATTATAATAACAATAGCAAAATACCAATAATGTAGACAAAAACAAAACAAAGCAAAACAATAAAAATGATAGGATTTCAGAATAAAATGATAGGAATTAACAGTGGGTGTTGTACTACATATTGTTATCTTCAGCAAAGTTGCTCTGATTACCAGATGCAAGAATGCAGGATTGACCAAACCATTAAAGAGAATAAGAAAATAATAATTTAAAAAACCCCTTAGAAAGGATACAGAGTTTCACTAGACAAGATGGTAGGAATTTACCAGTGGTTGTTATATTGCATGTTGGTGTCTTTGAATTAGTTATTCAGATTACCAGATATAAGCATGCAAAATTGGTAAAAAATTAAGCATAACTGTTCCTTTTGATAAACCATTAGACATCAGCAGTACAGTTATCCCAACTATCCTTCTATATATATATTTTCCCCCTTTCTTCTTTCTTTTTCCCCTTTCCCTTATCGTAGTTGTTCCTTCCTTTGAGTAATTTTTTCCCTTTCATAATATCTATTGTACATTTGGGTTTTATTTATTCTTTCAGGTTCTTACACTGGGGAGACAATATGATGTTTACACATGTGGGTCTGATTTATTTCACTTATGAGTATGGTCTCTAGCTGCAACCATTTACCTATAAAAGCCACAAGTTCATCCTTTTTTATAGTTGAGTGATACTCCATTATATAAAAATACCACATCTTTTTTATCCATTCCTCAGTTGATGGGCAATTGAGTTATTTCCAAGATTTAGCTATGACAACTTGTGCTGCTATAAACATGGGTGAATATATATCACTGTGGTAGGATGTTTTCAGTTCTGGAAAAATACCCAGAAGGGGAATAGCCGGGTTAAGTGGGACCTCTAACCCTAGGTTTTTGAGGAATCTCCACACTGATTTTTACAGTACTTGCACCAGTATACACTCCCACCAGCAGTGAAGAGTTCCTTTTTCCTCACAGCCTCTTCAGCATTTGTTAGGAGCTGATTTCTCGATGATAGCCATTCTTTCTGGAGTGAGATTGAATCTCAGCATTGTTTTAATTTGCATTTCTTGAATGACCAATGATGTTGAACATTTTTTCATGTATTTATTTGCCATTAGTATTTCTTCATCTGAGAAGTGTGTATTCATTTCAGATGCCCATTTTTGGATTGGGTCTTTGAATTTGAGGGGCCTGATTTTAAAATTTTTTTTATATGTTCTAGATAGAAGTCCTTTGTCTGACAGACAGTTGGCTAAAATTTTTTCCTAGTTCATGGTTTTTCTTTTTTTTTTTTGGCCTTGTTGATGATCTCTTTTGATGTGCAAAAACTTTTCAATAAGATGAGATCCCAGTTATTGATTCTTTGAAGTATTTCCCATGCAGTTTGGTTTTTGTTCATGAACTCTCTGCCTACCCCTATGTCTTCAAGATTTTTATCTACTTTCTCTTCCAATAGATTTAGTGTTTCTGTCTTAATATTTAGATCTTTAATCCATTTTGACTTTAGTTTAGTGCATGGTGAAAGACATGGTTATAGTTTTAGTCTTTGTCATGTGGAAAGCCAGTTTTTCCAGCACCATTTATTGAAGAGGCTGTCTTTCTTCCGGTGAACATGTTTGGCCCCTTTGTCAAAGACAAAGTGGCTGAGTATGTTTGTAGTTGTGTCTGCATCTTCTAGTCTGTACCATTGATCTTCAGGTCTGTTTTTTTGCCAGTACCATGCTGATTTTATCACAGTAGCTTTGTAGTATAGTTTCAAGTCAGGAATTGTGATGCTTCCTGCCTTGTCTTTGTTGCCCAGGATTGCTTTTGCTATTCTAGGTCTTTTCTGGTTCCAAATGAATTTTAGGAATGTTTTCTCTAGATCTGTGAGGTATTCTAATGGCATTTTAATTGGGATTGCATGGAATCTGTACAACAATTTTGGGAGGATGGCCATTTTCACCATATTGGTCCTTCCTATCTATGAGCAAGGAATATCTTTCCATTTTTTGAAATCCTCTTTGATCTCTCTTTTCAGAGTACTGTGATTTTCACTGTATAGATCTCTTCCTTCCTTTGTTAGATTGATTCCTAAGCACTTCATTACTTTAGATGCTATTGTGAAAGCTGTGGTGTCCCTAATTTCTCTCTCAGTTGGCTTGTTGCTTGTGTATAGGAATGCTATTGATTTTTGAGTGTTGACTTTGCATCCAGCTATGCTATGAATTTGGTTATTAAATCTGTAAGCCTGGAATTTGGGGAGAGGTAGACCAATTCTAATGCTAATCTTTTTCAGAGACCACCCCCCACTCCACAGATACACCTAGGGTTAATGCTTAACCAACTATCTTACCCCAAAGCTAACTACCATAAGGATGGTGAGGAACTGGGTTGGATATCCAAGGTGGGAGAACTTCTTGCTAACATTAAGGTCAAGGATGAGGCTGAGATAAGGGCCAGTCCAGAGGAAGGCTCAGTGGAGCCTGACCACAGTCTGGGTGAAGAGAGAATCCTGGCCAAGTGTTAGCTGAACCTGCTGTCTGGTGGCTCACGAGCAAACTAAGAGACCAGCCTTTCGGTGCTGTGCGGACTGGGCATCAGCAAAGGACCTTCACTGTACTCCTACACCGGCTCCTGCCTGCAGCAGTGCATGGCCTGTGTGGAGCCCTTGGCTTGCGTCCTTCTCCTGCTACACGTAGGGCCTCTATGTCGCCATGGGAGAGAGGAGGTTGTTCTGCTCATCAGAGCACAGGCAGGGGTGAGGAAGGGCGGCACACCAGGGACCCAGAGGAGGCAGAGTCAGAGGGGTGCTGAGTCAGGTCTCGGGTGGTGGCTTGGACTTACACAGTGGGGAAGGCAGAAAGATTGTGGTAGATGCAGGCAGAGAGTAGAGGTTTCTCTCTGACTTCTTTTCTGTGAGCTCCCCCTGGCTGGGGTCTCTTCTAGGTTCAGAGGACCTCATGGATGATACTATGAACAAATACTAATTAGTTAAACACTGAGTTGGGAAATCTAACTTGGGGTTAGCTGCATCAGTCTCCAGAGAAATCAAAACGTGACCCAGATGTAGTTCTTGCCTTCAAGGAGCTAGAGAAGCTGGGAAGAAACGTCTAAAGCCAACTGCAGGATGCTGTTGACAAACAACATAACTCTGCCTTTGGGCAGAGATGCAGGGGCAAGGGCAGATTTAACAAGAGGAGAGTGCAGGTGAGGTCTCAGAGGACGGTGGGGTCCTCCAGATGTGGGGAAGAGCAGCCAGTTCCGCAGGGCCCTGGAGCTGTGTGTTAGGATCACAGTGGACAGTTCCATGTAGGGGGATGGCAAGGGTCAAAGCTGGCCATGGGGTGGGGCTGGACACCAAGACTCCTGTGTGCTGGGTCTGGAAGCCACTGGGGGCCCCAGATCTTCAGGATGCACTCTGAGCCCTGAGCCAGTGGAGGCTCTGAGAAAAAGGAGGGCATGCGAGTGCGTGGGGCTTGCTTCCCTCAGATGCGCTGTGTGCTCCAAGGGTAGGGGTGAGTCGTAGGCATTGCAGCATCTCTCGCTAGGGCTTGAGACTTCAGCTGCAAAGGCTTTGTCTCATTCTCCTTGGTGTGCAGCAGCTGCTCAAATCCTGGAGGGAGAAGCCTGCTGCTCTTCTTATGGTACCCTCCAGGGGACGCTGTCGCTCCTCCGGGTGTCTGCGAGGTTTCTGGAACCCATTCTGTGCTGAGATGTTTCCTAGTCTGTCCTGGGGGAAAGACCAGGACAGGAATAATTTCAGGTGTGGCAGAAGCAACAGGATCTCATGATCCTTTTCTTGTAGATTCTGCCCAACATGTGACTTCCCTTTTCCATTTGCGCTTTCTGGGACCCAAGTAGCAGCAGCAGCAGCAACAGCAGCAGCAGCAGCAGCAGCAGCAGCAGTGATGTGTAGCTGATTGCCGAGGATGACTGACCATTTTGGGCTCTCCCTTAGACAACAAGGATGACAGAATGCTTTCTTTCTTTCTTTCTTTCTTTCTTTCTTTCTTTCTTTCTTTCTTTCTTTCTTTTTTCC